GAAAATATACTTGGAATAATATTTTGATTTCACTTGTTTTGACGGAATTATATTTGATTTGGTTTCTTTAGTTGTAATGTTTTAAAGATTGTGTATATTGAAAATAATATCACAAGAGTTTAATTTTTTGAATTTGAGACAACAGTTTTTTTCGAGGTGTTATTTATAAAAACATTTTGTATAAAAATGTTAAAAAATATACTTGGCGATTTTTTTTACATTTTTAATGTCTTTTTTCCACGGATTTCACGAATTTTTGCTAAGTTTTTGTTACATTAACAATGTTTCCTATTTATATCTAAAAGCCTATAGAAAATATATACATTTTATAGATAAGTTATTATTTTTAAAAATAATAATGCACACGCTGTAAATATTTGAAGAAAAACACAATATGATATAAATCAGTCATATTTTCCTCCAAATATTCACAACGTAAAATGTGTTTGTAAAATAATTTATTTATAAAATGTTTATGGTATACATCCTTGTGGTATACATACTTGTGTTTTAAATATTTTTACATTTATGATTTTTCATTTAAAAAATTGTATAGTAATGTCATAATTTTATAATATATAATTAAAATTTTTAAAGCTGTTATATTATTATTTATAACGAAAATTGCGCTATAATTAATATTTTTCATAAAAAAAAATTAATTAATTTTAGAAAGAAATAATTGTACCATCTCCTGTAAATATATTTAATTTTCTAAGTGCCGCTTATTTATTATCGCGCGCTCTTAATTGCTTAAGGTGCTTTTTCATACTAACGTTCCGACACTCATTCGTATTAAAACAAATCGCATGATCGAAATTGAAAATTGCTGCTTGGTATTCATCAATTTTGATCATGTGATTTGTTTTGACTTTTCTAAAAATGAGCGTTGAGCGTCAGCATGAAATCATACCTTTATTACTAATATTATATAATATGATATATATTTGATGGGAGACACTACTGCTTCCTTTTTATTATATCTATGATAATATTCATTTTCTTTTTTTTCTTCTATTACTTTCTTATTCATTTTAGTGGTATTCAAACTTTGGCGGTAACTATAGCGCGAAATGTTACTGCATTACGGGTGACAATACAAAAGTGCAGTTAATGTGCAACTTCAATATGTGACAACTTAATGCCTGTGATATGTTTACTTGTCGCAAGATTGAAATGTCGCGTAAGTATTACACAATTTTTAAGTATATATTTTGTATGAAGTTTATAATTTTTCATAATTTAGGATTAATATTACAATCAGTTTAATATCTTTTGTTATTACGAGTGATTGTAGTAATCCATAAAGCGATCATAAAGTGATTTTTATATGTTACGGACACAGTGCATTTCATTATAACCTAACATGCAATTTGTATTGTATCTTTTAGAATTAATATTATAATAAATTTAACACATTTTATTACGAGTAACTGTATTATTCTATTATGAAGTGATTTTCATATATTATAGATGCAATGTATTT